GTATTTTAAACTCAGACTTCAGAATAATGATCAGTGTGTTGATGGGTCTAAAAGTGAAATGAGTGACACATTTGATCAACTGATATGTTTTCAAAGGTGATGTGCATCAGATTTAAAGGAGCTGTATGTAGCTCGTAGAGTTTTAAACGTGAACTTGGGTTGCCAGATCTGCAGATTAGGACACATACAAGTTCCAAAACTGACAGAACTTCTAGAATTGACTGTGATTCATGATTGACTGCAGGTTCTGGGGTTTAGGTAGTGACCATTCAGATCAGAGTTATTTTAGGTTTTGAACAAACTGGATTTCAGCACTAAACCTGGCAACCCAAATGAAAGATTTATGTGAGGCTCATTCAGCTCTCTGATTGGATCTTGAGAACTAAAACCAAAATTATGTCCATATTTACCACATATCTGGGGACACAAATTCTAAATAAAAATATTGTTATATAGAGCATTTATTTGCAGAAAATGACAAATGGTCAAAATAACAATAATAAAAAAAAGCAATGTTTTCACAACTGAAATAATGTGAATAAAAGAAGATCATATTCATTTTAAAACAACACAATACTAATGTTTTAACTTGGGAAGAGTTCAGAAATCAAGATTTGGTGGAATAACCAACAATTGACCTGGATGTGTGGTGTTGAGCAGGAGCCTCATTGTCCTGCTGGAAAAAACAGTCCTCAGAGTTGGGGAACATTGTCAGAGCAGAGGAAGCAAGGGCTCTTCTTTTTTTTCCAGAGCTGTATACATACCAACACCCTGTATACATAAATATAGTCATCTCAGACAAGACATTAAATATAATATTCCTAAGTGTGAATGCTTCATTGCTGTTCAAAAAGGAGTGGGACGAAGTGTGACCTTATGAGCTCCCGACCTTTAATAGTAATACTAATGTTGTTACTGACTGTTACACCCAATTGTGCCAATCATCAATCAATCCCTGTGAACCCATTTTTGTACTGCTCTCCTCTAGTGTACATATTACCCTTGTTCCAACCTGTAGCTGTGGAATACCTCACGTTTGAATAATTGTTTGAAAAAGTAAATTTGTAGACAATCCTTTAAATCTCTGACAGAGTGAGATGTTCTTGGAGGTGATGTGGACAGTGAGATGTAGGTCATAAAGGAGATTGAGGTGAGCTTAAAGAGACGATGGGGAGGATTGAGATGGTTGTGGAGGAGATGGAGCAGAGTGAGATGTTCTGTTGAGAAACATCTGAGCGATCGTTGGCTGTAGTAGTGGTGTGTAGTAAACTAAATGAAATGGCAGCGGATGAGAGGAAGGAGTCTGTGTGAATTTATGATCTTGTTTTATTTCACCAGAGTTAGTTTGAAAAGACTTCATGTAGCCGCAGGGCTCTGAATAAATCATACATGTGATTTACAGTGAATGACGAACCATGTTTTAGTCAAAGCCACTGATTTAAGAGCGTTTGTTATCTCACAATAGACCGGGATGAGTTGTGGATGAGATACGATTATCAGTGTAACTTCTGTTCAAATGACTCAATTAAAGATCAGATATTTAAAGCCCAAGTATGTCACTTTTTAACCAAAGAATAGACTCATTTGTTTGTGATTCCTGCTCTGAAAAACATGCAGCCTTACTCTGAGTGAGCTTGTATCTCCACAAACCTGACTCCTATTTGCCTCGTCTTGCTTCTTTCAACAGATGTCGAAGTAACACCATTAACTGATGATTAGTTCAACCCCTATGGGTAACACTTTATAATAACTACACCTTATTTAGCCTTAATAAAGCATAATAATAATGAACAAAGACTTAATTAATAATGATTCTCGCTTAGTAACTACTTAATTACTACCTTAATTAGCACTTGCACTTAATTTGCCTGTGCTGTAAATAGTTACTTATAATTATTTCATACTTAATTACTCCTGGATTAACCATTTGAGCATTTATTAATCATTAGTAAACTATGAGAGAATGATTTACTAATAATGCAATACAATGATCATTCAGGCAGCTGTTATCTGTTAGTTCAGTCTTTTTGAGGGCTTTTCTAAAGTGAAGACGAATTATGCTTTATTAAACATTTACTAAGCGTGAATCATTGTTAAATAAGTCTTTGTTCATTATTAATTAAGTCTTTATTCATGCTTTATTAAGGCTAAATAAGGTGTAGTTATTATAAAGTGTTACCGAAATGAGAAATGAAAATCAAAGCTATAGTTCATGTATGGAACATTCAAGGCAAAAGTTATAACATTTCAACAGAGATGAGCAGGTGACAGACAATCCTCCAAAACAATATTATAGTGCATTTTATTATTTTTACTTTTTAATTTTGTCAGATGGTGTTTTAAGTGTCAAAACTGGTCAAAAACCTCTACCAGAAACAAAAAAGCAACAGCAACTTGACATTTCCATCTTGTGTTGCCTTCGTCAGATTGTTCTTTTTGCCACCTCACCCCATTGCGTTGCCAGATTGGGAGCGCTCTCTTGCCGGCGCTCTTCCGTCTCCGTGCACACACTTGACTGCAGGGAAGTGGGGACTCTTAAATAAACATGGCGCTCTTATCAGTGGATCTAAAAATACACGGTGAGGCAGCGCTCGCTCACTGTGCCAAAGCGCCAAATCAGCCGGCGATGACAGAGGCTCCTGCTTCTGTTTGTAGATACACGCGCTTCAATGGAGCTGGGACAAATTGTTTTAGGCTCTGCTAACGTCTTATTTAAAGGAAGTTGTGTCAGCGTGAAGTTTATTTTATCTTTATATTGTGTTTTTTGTTTGTTTTTTGTGACTTTTTAAGAGTTTAAATGCACTGGTGAGTTCTATATTCAAAGATGCATTGTGTAACTTTTCTGGTGGAGGGTCCGTCAAATTATTTTCTCCATAGAGATGTTATTGCTTTATCTGGAATGTTCCACAGTATGACATTAAACAACTCAATCTTACAGTTATTCAATTGCAGGTGGTTTTATAGCTCAGAAATGCTCAGATTCTGACTGACAGCATTCTGACTGTGAGAGTGGTCGCCTCTCCACAGATCTGACCTGTAACTTGGTCTGGTTTGGTCTCCACAAAGATAGAAAGGTTTAAAGCCATACTGTGAAACAGTGTTGGGAGTAATGCGTTATAAAAAAAAAAAAAAAATAATTACTGTAATGTGTTGATTTTTGTGGTAACACAGTAATGTTCGGCATTACAAGGAAAAAAATTGTAATATTTTACTCGGTACAAATGTGAGTGACGCATGTTACAAAGCTTTTTTAACCTGGATTGAAGTGGTGGTTTTTTCTTCATACAAATTCCCTAAAATCACTGCGATATCAACAGCAGTGAAACACCAGAGATGCACCTGCATAGACTCTCTGGTGACCACAAGCGAAAGGACCAGCGCAGAACTCCACGCTCCACGGGGCTAAACGCAGCTCATGCCCGATCATGCCTTACAGACACCCTGCTCCACGGACTCGGGGTTCTCTCAGGGGCAGTCCTAGATTCCAAGTTCTAGTCCAAGATTAGTTCTGGTTTGGTCCTGGTTCAGTCCTGGTTTAGTCCTGGTTTAGTCCTGGTTTAGACCTGGTTTAGACCTGGGTCATTTCTGGTTTAGACCTAGTTTAGTCCTGGTTTAGTCCTGGTTCAGTCCATATCCGGCGCAAAAGTTCAGCATTGTCACAGTTATTCTGGTGAGAATAACATAAAAGTGCTGTAATAGTCGTGTAATACCTTACATTTTAAATGCAGTAATATTGTAATTTCTTTGAAATGACAGTAACAAGTCATAAATAAACACATTACAGTTTTAAAGTCACTTGCCCAACAGTGCTGTGAAACAATAACATCCTCATGGACACAAGCGAAAAGTTACACAATGCACCTTCTAACATTAAAGTGCCTGTGCATACACAGTTAAGATCACTACATTTAAGATTTAGCAAAAAAAAAGAAAACAATTAAATTTTTTCCCCCATTTTGGCAAATTTTAGGTTTGAAATTGTACATCCTTTTTGAAAATCATGACATCAGACTTACTTTTCATCACAAATTGCTTCTTGATTGGTGTAAAACTATGATTTATATTGATGATAGACAGATTGATACTTTATTATCTCAAAGGAAATTATTTTTTTCTGGCAGCAACTATGCATAGAAATAAAAAGATCAATTTATATCAGTTTATCCATTTATTATAGTGAAGTTTTGAAGAGCCGTGTGGCGTGAGGAACAGGTAGTATCTCACCAAATGAACTTTAACAACAGTAACTTTTGTGTTGGACGGTCGGCCGTGTGCTTGTCTGCATGGAGGAGGAATGCTGGAATGTTCCTCGGTATGACATTTAACTGATCTATCTCCATGGAGACAGGCACAATAACAGAAGTTTTCAAATGACTGATCAGATTTGTGGAGAGGCTGTACATTAATCAGAACAAGATGATTAAGTTTAATGGCGTATTGTGGAACATTCAGCATTCCATGACGACCCACCACGAGAAAAGTGACATATTCCATCTTAAATTGAACATATTTTTTTTAACATTGAACATATTGAACATATTTACTCCAAATATTTGCTTTGGATCAGCTTTAAACACAGTAATGGGAACAGATGTCACGTTTAATTTCTAATGAGTTTCAATTACTCAAGTCACTGTTTGAACACCGTGCTTTCTAAAGTGTTTTTTCACGTACTTTTTGTGAATATTTCATGCATTTTTGTCCCTCACTTATCTCTCCTGATTTACCTGAATTACTATTATTACCTAAAGTAGCCTATTAAGAATCTAATATGTTGGCACTTTGGGTTTGTATGTATTTTTTCTGACACCACGACCTCTTTAACCTCTCAGTTTCCCGTGTGGTTACATAATGACCCCAGAGCCAAGAAGAGAAATTTCAGCGATCACCCCTGGCGTAGCACGTATATGTAATCATGTACGACGTCCTATCTGCAGCTGGATCTAACTCTGGACCTCCGCGAATACTGAAGAATGCTTTTGACTCTTTGTGCGCGCTACATGCCGACACTGGCTGGCCACGCCACCGACCTGTTCACCGTGGAGGCCCCCGATCTGTTGTTCTCCGCTGTATCTCGCAGTGGCCGACATCACTGCACCCGCATGTTTGGAGCTGAGTTTATGTTAAGTTTTCAATGGGAGTTTTGAAAAGAGTAGAGGAGACACAGGGCAGCCTTGTTCGGTGCTTGACTTGTATCTTGTTTTGCTTTTTTTTGTGCAGGTGGGGCGTCCTGGAGGGGTCGCACCAGGGGCAGACAGGAGGCAGCGTCGGTGATGTCAGCCAAAGCAAAGGTACGGACCATTCAGAGCTGCTTATCTTCAAACTGTGCTGAAGTACTTAGGAACGGTCTGTGTGGCTTTTGTGCACGGACAATAGAAGAAGACATTACCGCACTCTGTACAATCTGATGCAAGACACAAAACAATAAAGTCTATGTAAACAATAAACTGGAGAAAGGTAATACAAACTTTGAATTTAAATGTAAAGCTCACAGTCTCTATAATCAGATGAAGATACAGTAAATGAAATCTGTGTAAACAATTGACGTAATGTTTCTTTCAGACATAATACAAACTTTGAATTAAAATTTTAAAAATTAAGTTATAAGTCTGGAGGTCTGCAAAAGTTGGCTGTGCTATTGTGGAATAAATATTACATTTTCTCATTTTTCCAAGTACAATTAATTAGTTTTGCATTAAAGGTCCATTAAAGTTATTGTAATCCAAAAGTTTAGTTTGAGTTATGGTAATCCAAAAGAATGAATAGGTTCTGGTGTTATGAAGGAGTGTATATGTTTTACTGCGATGGGGTCGGACATATGGGCCCGGTCAAGCAGAAGTAAACATCAAGGCCAAAAATTCAAGTTAATGCATCTGATATAAAAATGTATTGAACAGATACATATGTACTCTAGTTTATGAAACTGTTGACCTTTTTTCTGTACCATTTTTGGTTCTAAAGTTCCATACGTTTTAAACAGACCATGTATGAAACATGGAACAAAAATTATTTCCCAAATTTCAAAGACCTGCAAATCATGTGAATAAATGTTTGTATTTCATCATATCTTGTGTTATTCCATCTTTGAACTGTTGATGAAGGTTCATGATTTTTCCAAAAAAATGTATTTAAAATGATAAAAATGTTCTTGGAAGGACTGACATATTTTATAGAAATAGTTTCCTTTCATTTTGAAGTAATATTAAAGTATTCAGAAGAAAAAATCTGACAAATGATGTAAAATCCTGCACCTTCTACTTGTTTGCACAATTTTCCCTCCGTTACTTTTCCCTCCGTTACCATGACCTTTCTTAATAAAAAATCTCATGAGTCAAAAAGTAAGAGGTTTTTCAACCTAATCTTGTACCATATGGTAGAAAACTATATGAAGCAAATATTCAAACCAGTTTGTTAAGGATATGGAAGTGAGAACCAAGAGTTATCACTGTTTGGATTTATTGCCCAAAAAGTGCTGCATATTTCATTCCCTCCGTTACCGACATGAGTTTTTAAATTTTTTGTCAACAACTTGAAAGAATATCACAGGTTTAACTTGACCCTGTTGGAGTGTAACTCTTTCCTACATTCTGATACTTTACTTATTTCAATAGTCCCTCTAGTTTCTGAATAAGAGACATTTGAATGTCAAAAATCTGCCCCTGTTTCCCTCCTTTACCACTTGACCGGACCCATATACCTGTAGCTCGTCATCCAGTGTGGATTTGTAGTTGTGCAATGGAGTGATCCAGTGTGGGAAAGAACCTGACCATTGAGACGTAACTGAAGAGACTGAAAGAAGAGTAAATCGGCTTCAGCAAACTTTATTAGATCCGTCGGTTAATGACGTGTTTAAGCAGCAGCGTCGTAGCACCGGAGGAGAGGAGCAGGAAGGTGGTGTGTGTGTGTGTGGAGACACCGGAACTTAAGGCAAGTTGTCCCACCACAATAAGGGTGTGGGATTCTTCTCCACAGATCTGACCTGTAACTTGGTCATGTTTGGTCTCCATGAAAATAGAAAGGTTTAATATCAACTGTGGAACATTCCAGACAAAGCAATAACATCTCCATGAAGAAAAACATTTGGCTGACTCTCCACCAAAAACAATTTAATAAAAAAAAGAATTAGAATTATGTTCGTTATTCAAAACATTGAGATCTTCAAATATATTTTGTTGGTTGCCGGTGACAAAAATAAAGGCTATTTGAAACTGCGATCTTAATTTAAAAATGTACCTTTAGACTTATAGAAAGTTAACCTGATTCATCAGCTGGTTTCACTTTATAGAAACCGTCTGAAATCGCAGTGTTAGGATTCGTTCACTCGACGGTAGGCGGGTACGTTTTTTATTTAACCAATCGCTGCTGTTTGGTCGTGATGTATGTAGTGCACCGTTAACGGGGATAACTGGTATATTAAGCTTTTCCCAAATCCCGTAGGAAGAAGGACAATAACGTCTTTCCCCTTGATAAAACTCACCAAACATTCTCTTTGTTCTGGCTTTAAATCCTCGATGTTGGGAATCATTGACAACACAGAATGTCTGTCTCTTTGCTGATTGGCTGGTGCCTGAAGTCGCACTTCCAGGGTTTTTGCGAACCATTTAGTGCAAGGGTGTCAAACATGCGGCCCAGGGTCCGGATCTGGACCATTAATCTGGCTCTCGGCTGATTTCTACTAAAATATTTTAATTATATTTTATATTAAAATCTTGTTAATTTTCTGTGGTGTTTATCACAGCAGCGTCTCCAGCGTCTCTGTACGTGGCCCCTCCCACCAGAGCAGCACAAATGAAGACTTGTCTCTTTCCAAACGCTCTTAAAGGACGATCGTTTTGACTGTTGACCGTGACACCCTCATCAGAAAAATGTCCAACATGAGAAAAGTGGAGCCGAGTGCAGGATTTTACAAGAAAAATGGACTTATTCCTATTTGCAAACAAGTTCATGTTAAAACATTGTGTTGAAATTAGTTTCAGGTTGTTCATAATATTATAATATTTTGTAAAAGAAAGAGTTCATCAATTTAAAAAGATTTCTGTAATAGATTTGCGTTTCTCTGCACAAATATTTGAACTTATTGTTATTTTTGGGGTTTATATGACATGAGTTTTCTGATCCGGACACTTTGAGATCAAAGTCGGTTGGATACGGCCCCCAGAACAAAATGAGTTTGACACTCCTGATTTAGTGTATTCTGATTCCTGATCTAGTCGCTGGAGAGAAATTAAATTGAGTGGAGGCACTAGGTGGCACCAGAGTGACTAATAGACAGTATAAAGATGGGCAAATAATCGTGATATTGTAATAAAGGTAAAAATGCACTTTTAAAACACACAGACGCACACTCTGATGAGAAGTGCTTTAATACCACACTAAGGAACATTCCACAGAAAGCATTAACATCTACACTTCAGAGCACACACCTGAACAGTTAAACAGTGCACTTTTAACTTCATTTCTGTCTCATATACCTTCACTAACTCCCTCCATTGTTCCAAGTACCAAGAGCTCTTCCAGTAACTCCGTTCAGTTCATACGCAAATGCTTTTCACTGGGGACTACTGCCGGCTACTGCGTACTACACAAGTGTGAAGTGAATCGGTGCGCTCCAGTTCTTGGCAGCTCCGGCTCCTTGTAGCTCAGCCCTGAGACTGTTCTAGCGTACTATTCTTTGGCATTGATAGCAGCAGAAATTCACAATGCCAAGAGAGAGACGGTCTTGGTTCAGTGGTTCAAACCCAAGTCTGACGCCACACTGCCCGGGCCTGCCATCGCAGTTTCACTCAAATGTTTTATATTATTTGCATATCAGCCATGCCTCCACAGAACTGGCTTTAAAGCTGCGATGAAGCGTGAAATGAAGCTTGTAAACTCTGCAAAAGTGCTTGACCTCAGAAAGAGTTTTATGAACCGTAGAAAGATAGGCTGTTTCTTTCGCTTGATAAAATTTAACTCCACCACAGATCTGAGATGCAGACATTAAAAGCCGTTCAGGTGCCAGCTTGTTTCATTTTTTCACATAAAACAGAATAGAATAGAAAGGTGAGTCCAATTGCTTCAAGTAAAGATATCGTCCGCTACCTGCTTTTCTCCATGGAGATGTTATTGCTTTGTCTGGATTGTTTCACGGAAAGGTATTAAACCTTTCTATATTCATGTTACAGGTCAGATCTGTGGAGAGGCGACCCCACTCACAGTAGGAATACCTGTTTTTCTAGGTATTTTTGAGCTTTAAAACCAACTGCAATTGAATAAATCTAAGATAGCTTGTTTAATGTCACATTGTGGAACTTTCCAGGCAGAGCAATGATGTATCCACAGGAATAAACATTATGAAGAAAGTTTCATCTACTTGAGCTATGTTGACTGTGACAGTGGTGGAGAAAATTAAACTCTATGAAGTGTGGAGTAACTGTAAGACAAAATGTGAAGGATTTCAGTGATTTTCTATTAAGGAGGGGGAAAAAAAAGAAAAAGTGAAATTCTGAAAACGGACAAAATGTACTGTATGAATGAGTAACCCGACTGCCTCTACTTTTAGTTATTAACCTATTATTTATTTATTATTATTATTTTTCTTTTATCTATCTATTTATCTATAAAATCCTTTTTCATTATTATTTAGTGTCATCATTATCATTATTGCTATTATTATGTTATTTATTGTAGTATTATTATTTTGTCATTTATTTTATTTTATTTTATTTTTTTCCTTTTATGTACCTTTTACATTTCTATTAATTTTATGGGTGAAAAAAAAAACAAAAAAACCTGGGCATATATACTGTGACTTATGTGGACAAGAAGAAAGTTTCTTAATGTTAATGTTTGGATAAAGACTCCATAAAAACACTACCTGCTGTAAACATTTGTAAACAAATAAAATATTACACTAAAGTCAGTTTCCACCTGGATGTTTCTCTGCGTTGATCTGTTTCTCAGGTTTATTAACAGTTCAATGTGCTGTTTCACAAATGGCTCATACCTAAAGATGCACTGTGTAACTTTTCTGGTGAAGTCTCCACCATCTGCTTGTCTCCATGGTGATGTTACTGCTTTGCCTATGACAGAGGTGGGACTTGAAAGACTTGGACTCGAGTCAGACTTGAGTCACTATTTTTAGGACTTGAGACTTGACTTGATAAAATGGACTAAGACTCGGGACTCGACTGGGACTTGAACCCTGTGACTCGGGACTTGACTTGGAACTTGAATTGAGACTTGATGCTTCTCCTAAAAGTATGTTTTTAGAAAATACTTTTCTCTTTACAGTTGATAAAATTTGGTGCTTAATTTTAAAGGAACAAACTGGAACATGTCCCTCTTCACTTCTGTTTGGTACTTTGGACGTAAACGAAGTACTGTGATGTGGTATCCTCAAATGTACTACAGTAATACACAGTACAATACAGTAATATACAGTAAAATACAGTAATATACAGTAAAATACAGTAATATACAGTAAAATACAGTAATATACAGGACACTACAGTAAAAGAGAGGGACTACATGACAAAATAACTCTTATTTAGCACTTTTAAATCTGAATTCTTTCTATTCTGACCGTAATTAATTCACACTAAGATCTTGTCAAAACATTTAAAAAGGAAATATATAAATATACCATGAGTTTTTAAGAACAATTGAGTTTAAAATTCATATAAATTGCAAAAATCTAAGCTATACTTTGATATTTGAAATGACTTGAAGCTCAAAGAAGATGATGTGGACTTGATTTTATTTTTTTTTATGGGCCAGTGAATCGAGACTCGACTTGGACTTGCCTTGTATTTGACTTGGGACTTGACTCGGACTTGAGGTCAAAGACTTGAGACTTACTTGAGACTTGCAAAACAACGACTTGGTCCCACGTCTGGCCTATGATATTCCCCAGTATTAAAACCCCAAAACCTGTATTATTTCTGTCAGCGAGTCCACATCTCCACAGATCTGACCTGTAACTTGACCTGGTGATGTGGGCTGCTTGTCTCCATGGATATAGTTAAATGAAATGCCATACTGTGGACCATTTCACGAAGAAACAACATGTGTCAAGTGAGAAATGAACATAATAAAGATGTGATACACTTTTACGTCTGTTCTTCTAGGTGCTGCTGTTGGTGGTCCTCTCTTTGTTACCGGCGGTGGGCGGAGCCAGCGTCATAGGCAGCAGCGGGGGGGCAGGAGCAGAGTCTGGCCCCGCGGTGGGACTGTACCAAGGCCCAGAGGAGAGACAGCCCCCCCTGCCCCTGCCCCGAGCACCAGACGAGGAGCAAGAAGACGACAGTGACCCGGACCCGACCTGGTACAACCTCTACGGTGAGAACACGGAGGGAGGAGAGGCTGAGGGGGCTGCTGCTTCTGCTGCTGCTGCTGCTGCTGCTGCTTTGGAAATGGGGGGAGGAGCGTTGTAGCTGAGAGGTAGAAGCTCAGCAGGTAGAACGCTCATCCTCTGATCCCAAGTGTTACGTCCTCTTTGTCAGGGAGAAGGAAAGTAACAAGAAAAGCCAAGATGTTGTAGGTTTGACAAAAAATTGTGATTTATTAATTAACAGTGCAGGTAACAAAAAACAAAAAAAAAGAATAGTGAAGGTGAAGTTAAGAGCTTAAAACAAAATGAATCACCAAACTAATGAGCCCTAACTAAATACAACAAAAAAGAACCCAACTGAAGTACCGTATTTTCTGCACTATAGGCAGTGTTGGGCAGTAACAGATTACATGTACCGGAGTTACGTAATCAGAGTACAAATTATGAGTAACTGTATTCAGTTACAATTACTGTTTCAGTGAGTGGTAATTGGATTACAGTTACTTTGTTGAAATAAATGGATTACACGGCGGTATTTTCCTGTTTTCACATTTTGGGCTAAACCAGGACTAAACCAGGACTAAACCAGGACTAAACCAACAAACAGGACTAAAAACTAAACAGGACTAAACTAGGACTAAACCAGGACTAAACTAGGACTAAACCAGGACTAAACCAGGACTAAACCAGGACTAAACCAGGACTAAAACCAGGACTAAACTAATACAATATAACAGTAGGTGGACATAATTGTGATTTCATATAAAAATAATTTCTCTATCAATAATATTTTTTATGTGGTCAAGTATTAGTAATTTTCAGGATGTGGTTGTTACATTCATGTAGTTTTAAAAAACATGACAATATATATATTTTTAAATTTATTTCTTAAATGACAAATGGTAATATACAAAACAAGTGAAAAAGCATGACAATATCAAGTAATCCAAAGTATTCAGATTACATTACTCACTTTAAGTCACTTAATGGATTCCGTTACAAACTACATTTTGGGATATGTAATCTGTAATCTGTAGGGGAATTACATTTTAAAAGTCACCTTCCCAACACTGACTATAGGGCTTTAATTTCATCCAAAAACGACTGCGCACCTTATAATGCAGAGCGTCTTAAAGTGCGGAAAATACGGCACTCAAAGAATAACAAAGTGTCTCAGTCAAAAACAAAGAACAAAGGCACCAGCTCGCATGGTCCACGCAAAATGAGACACAACAGAATTATAGACCTAATTTCATAGACCTTTTACGTGGCCTCTGAGGATTGGTGAGGGTGGAAGTGCGTCTGGCCAATCCGACGAACATCAGACGCCCAGACTTCATCCTGCGAATCTGGGTCTGGGGCTCGCAGACTGGGTTTACATACAACACACACAAAAACAAAGGAGACTACAGGAGCAAAAAAGGGGCCTGATACACCAAGGTTGGCAGGTGGAATCCCGCCCTCATTGTAAATATAGGCGAGTTTCATTGTTGACAAAAGCGCGCGTTGCATGCTGGGAATTATTTTGGTCGGCGGCAAGAAACACTAATTTAACATGACGGACGGAGCGAGAAAGCACGTAAAGGGTATTGATCCCGGTTATTTATCCACTCTAATGGCAGAGGACCCAAGACCATTTGACCAGAAATTGGAAGACAAATCATCCTTTTCAACCCCGACAAAAGGTGGACCAAACCAAATTTCTGGTCAGAATCACCAACTACCTGGACAAATATTCACACGATGACTTGGTGGAAACTCCTGGGCCATTCACAGCAGAAAAGATGAAAACCTCCAAGAGTCTCGATGTGTTGTTGAACTTGTTGGAGTCCACGGTTTGTTAGGATCTTCTACGTTTGCTCTGCAGATGTTTGAAAGTCGTTTAATTCACCGTTAGTGGTTCTTTTCACTCAGAATATGAAAAAGACATTTTCCTTCTTCCGTGCTTCTATTTGTGCATCCGATAATGCAGCAGGAATTTACCATTATCGGGGAGAAATACGTGAGGTTACACACTGTGTTTGACGCTACCGTGTTTCTTGCCTCTGACCAAAATATTACCCAGCATGCAACGCGGGCTTTTAATAACAATGATGTCAGCTGAGACTTGCCTATAGAGCAGTCAGATCTACTGGCCCGATGGTTGGCGAGTCAATCTCATCTACTGCAGATGAATACTGCCGTTGTGTCCTTGGGTAAGACACTTCACCACCTCATATCCAGTGTCTGTGTACACTGGTGTATGAGTGAGTGTGGGTGAGTGGGTGAGTGGTTCCTTGATGTGGAAATGTGTGATTTAAATGGTTGAAAGGCAAAGTTAGCAGGCTGTGATTGGTTGACAGTGACGGACAGATGACAGGAAAATCCACACAACTCCACATTCTGAGTGGTGCCCTGTACTAGAAAAGATAGTGCCTTCAAAATGTCCTACAGTGCACCTAGAAAAGTGGTAAACAGCCAAATGAAGTTCATTTGGTCTTCCAATAGTTTATGTTATCAGGTTTCTTTTGTTTTCATACCTGACTGCTCTCTAGCGTCTTCCTCAAAGTCATATGATGTTGCTGTGACGTTCTTGGTCAGCTGGTTGATACAGGTTTTGACGCTGTCTTTTTACCGGTGGAGGCAGGATCACCAGCACCAAAAACAGAACCGGAGCATAAATGCAATGTCATATATGAAACACCCAGCAATAAAATACACATGGAGGAAACAGGGACACAAGCAACACAAAGCAGATCAGGAAGAACACAGATCACATCTCTGTAAAAGAACAAACTACATTCTGGACTGGGATGGAGTAAACATCACTGGGACAGATGAAAACAAACATCGTCGCTGGATTAAAGAGGCAATTGAAACACGGAAACATGCCCAAGGGAATATCAACCAGGACAAGGTTTTTTTTTTACTCTCACACACCTGGGATACTGTCCTGAGGAAGTGGGACTGCAGGTGGCGCTGTCGTCCTGCCCCCACCTGTAGAAAGACAGAAACAAAACCTGTTTAAATCAACTGAACGACACGTCAACATCACGAGACTCTGAGGAAGAGCACTAGTGAGCAGTCGAACTGTCAGGTATGAAAACAAACTCTTGGTCTGAAAAAAGAACCTAATAACATAGTAAACAGTGAATACAGACCACAATGCATTGCAAAATTGTAAAATAAACAGACAGACACAGGTTTTTAACACTTAAGAATGAAAGCAGCTAGAGACTCTGTTTTAATTCACTCTTGACCTTTGAGTTTTAATAAATCTTCAATAAATTGTTATGGTGTAAAGTTGTTGTGTTAGTCACTTACCTTGATTTGAGCTGCCCAAATTAGGCGAAAAACTGAACTGATACATAACGCATGATACGTTTTCACAAAAACATGTGTCATTAACATTAGTCCATAAATAGCTGTGTCCATGTTGACTTTATCAAACATTTGTTGCCATAGTGACCTGCGGCAAGGACAATGTAGAAGTGCGTGAGGGGTTAAAGGCAAAGGGGACATTTGGACACAGCTACAGTCTTCTTGTTTAAACGATTTCTTCTGTTGTTTTAAAGGTGCACTGTGTAACTTTTCTCCATGGAGATGTTATTGCTTTGTCTAGAATGTTCACAGTATGGCATTAAACCTTTCTACCCTCATGGAGACCAAACCAGACCAAGTTACAGGTCAGATCTGTGGAGAGGCGATGCCATTTACAGTCAAAATGTTTGTTTTCCTACGTATTTTGAGTTATAAAACCACCTGTAATTGAATAAATGCGAGGTAGAGCTGTTTAATGTCACACTGTGGAACATTCTAAGCAGAGCAATGACATCTCCATAGAAACAAGAAGGTGATGGACCCCCAACCTTTAGATAAGTCTAATGTGAAAGTCTACAGTTTGTTTTTATTCTGTCCAAATGTCCAGCTGTTTACTTGTGTACACATGATAAATAAGATGATAAATACTTCGACTTAGACAAACTTTATTGATCCACAAAGGAATTATTTAGACACAGGAGCGCACACATCACAATATAATATAATAATAAAGAGTAAAAATAAAAATGATAATAATAAATTCTAAATAAGTATTAAACATAACAAGAGACTGGTGTCAAATAAGGCAAAACTATATAAATGTACAAGTAAAAAAAAAAAAAACTAGACAAATAGATCTGAGCTTTATAGAAGAGGTCAGAAGGAAACAGCTGAAGTTTCCTCAGAGCTCGTGGGGCAGAGTGACATTTGTTCTTTGCTCGTGGCAGACTGTTCAGACACAACATGTCCTCACTGCAAACCAGGCTCCAGGACAGACTCACATCCACACGACCACAGCATCTGGTGCAACTGTTATGTAAAGACTGTGTTTTTTGTTTGGTTTTTCCCCACTGGACATGAGTCTGGGCTCTGACAGTTTGCTGAATGTCTCTCCTCGCCCTTCACCCTGATACTACTCTGCAACCTTTTCTGTTAAAGGGGCTGTACCATAATGTTTTTCATGTAGTAAAGTATTAATAGTTTTGCCCCATTACAGATAAATAGTAAAAGCGGCTCATAGTGTCAGTTACATCCACCTCAACTCACTCTGCACCGCATCATCTATCAGTCGGCCTATTCATTGATTTCATCATGACTTTGCAAAAAAAAAAGTGTTTTATTTGTATAGCACTTTCACAGATAAAAATCTGTGTTTTACATGAATAAACTGAAATAGAAATAGAAAAAATACAAAGGCAAGGCAAGTTTATTTGTACAGTACAGTTGGTACACAAAGTAATTCAAAGTGATGTACAGAATAAGAAAAACAAACCATAAACAATAAAGGAAGAAACAACAGTCAGCCAAAAGCTTTTCTATAAAGGAGAGTGTTCAGCTGCTTCTTATGAGTGTCTACTGAATCAGCCTCACGGACAGATCATTACACATCAACCCTGTCAAATGTGTCTGAAGCAGTAGACCTATAGACCTGTACTTCGTGAATAAATAAGACTGTTATTAACATCTGTTTGTCTTTGTCCTGATTTCAGACCCCTACGTGGTGGATGAGATGGACGACCATCCCAGTCTGCGGTGGACCGGCCGATCTCCTCGCTCCTCGGACCCCTCGGACCCTCAGGCCAAAGGCTCGGCCAAGAGGAAGAGGAGGAAGAAAGAGGAGGATGCAGAGGAGGAGACTGCAGAAGGGAGGAGGAGGGGGAGGGGCAGTAAAGCTCCCAAACACAGCAGCAAAGAGTGTCGCATGGAGCGGCGTCAGATGAAGGTGAGGGACTTAGGCCTGGGCTACGACTCGGACGAGATCATCCTGTTTAAATACTGCGTGGGCTCGTGCCAGTCGTCCAGGACCAACTATGACTTCGCCCTGAAGGCTCTGCTCCATAACGGCTCTTTACCTCGCCGCTCAGCGCGCAGGGTGAGCAGCCACCCCTGCTGCCGCCCCGACCGCTACGAGTCCGTCTCCTTCATGGACGCCCACACCACCTGGCAGACCATCGACTCTCTGTCTGCTGCCAGCTGCATGTGCATGGGCTGAGGCAGGCTGAGGGCTGCAGTCACAGGAAAGCCTCACCTGGCTGCTGTGGAGTATGTGTCATCTTTGAAACCATCATCATTACTATCAGTGAACTAGAGTTTTAGTTGTCACTCCAGTCAGGGGGAGGGCACCAGGTTTTGGCTTCCTCTGGACAGAGTCTTCAAAGCCAAAGAAGTGGACGTGTGTGTCATAAGTGCACATGATGGAGCCTGTGTTTTTATGGAATACAATATAATGTCATCTAATCTAAGTGTTTCAGATGCAGAAGGTTTTATTTGTACACTAAACTAAACAGAAGATTATGACTTCCATCATTTCATAAGAAGACATTTCTGGACCAAAGAGAAAATGGTTTGACTAAAGTTTTGGTTCTTTAAAGACTCGACCAGCAGAACAGATGCTGCTCGGCCTGAGCTCTGACGCTCAGACACATGTGGAGGACTCATATTGTTCAGAGGAACTCAGCCAAATGGATGCCATGCATCTTCATGTATTACTGTGTCAAAGTAAGATATATTTATTGCAGATAAGTTATTTATTTATTACAGCTTCATATGAAAGCTCTTTTATTAACTCCTGTTGTAGGTCAAAGTCTATTTATTGCCATATTTCATGTTATTCAAATGCCTCAAAACATGACTCACCTGTTTGAACAAGGCCATAGTCATAGAGGCAGGAGCAGTGAGCAGGGCCGGGCCAGTATATACAGCAGAGTGCACCTGTCACTGTAGTGCTCCTGCCGCACACTGTCATATGTAACCACTGCACTCAAGACACAGCATCAGAGCATTTCAGGACACAAGGTCTGATGAGGTCTGATCTCTCCGACATCAACATCCAAAGGTCAAAGTTGAGTCATATTTGGTCCGAGCACAAACTGAGTCACAGATGCCCACAGCACTTGACTTTTATGTGACCTGCGGGTGACAGAACTATATTTGAGTTCACTTGAGTGCTGATTGAACAGCTTAGAGCACATGTACAACAGCACTGACACTTACAGTGAATGACCAGTGAAAAAATCGAAACAATCAAACACAAAAAATACAAAAAATACAAAAATACAATACAAACACAAAATGGAGCTTCAGAGTGTCCAGACCTGTGCTGTGAAATGCAGGGACATGTCTGAGTGACTGAGGTATATTACTTTTGTCACATCACACTGGGGGTGTTCTGTATGTATGTCTATGGTGGAATGTTCAGCAGTTATGATGGTGACACAAAACACAATTTAGCAAACACTGCCAATTCAAACAACACATTTTCAAGAGCCTGTGATCAATCTGAACGTACATCATCACTAACAAAAAAAAAGTATAATAAAATAAAATGAATAAATAATAATAGTAATAGTTGGTTAATGCTTCAATAGTATATGTGTAAGATACTTGTGTAACAGTGCAAAGCCTCTCAACTGTTGTAGTTCCAATTAAGTGAAGTTTCTGGTCAGAAAAAAAATGTAAACCTCAGATTAAAGTTTAAGATAGACAGAGCAGTGCCTCTAGTTCACATTACACCCCCAGAGAGTGTTGATGACATCAGCTGCAAAGTATCAACGAAGCTCAACAGTCCTGTCCACAATGAAACCCGCAGAAGTTCATTTTCAATTAAATTTTCCCATGGTTTCACAAAAGAATAAAATAAAGTGTGGAAGCGTCCCGGAGCTGATCAGTCGTGTGGTTTCTGCAGTGACCACAATAAAACGAAATAAACCACTGTGTTATTAAAGCATGTTACCCAATTTAAAAGTGAAAAAGTGTTTCAGAGGCTTGGTTGTGCTTTTAAAATCTTTATATCCTCCTGGGACCTGAAGAAACAAAGTGTGTATTTTGTGATTTTCTATTTGGAGCGTTGAGATCTTGATTTCATTTTCATTTGTATGGACGCTGGGGACGATTTGGTGTTAAGTCCATGTGAATTAACATTAACATTTTTTTTTTATCATTGTGCAGCCACAAACTAAGTCCTACTGAGTTAATTTTTTTTAAATCCTGGACATGAGAGTTCCTATAGGCGAGTTTCAGCTGACGTCATTGTTATTAAAAGCCCGTGTTGCATGCTGGGAAATATTTTGGTCAGAGGCAAGAAACACGATAGCGTCAAACACAGTGTGTAACCTCACGTATTTATCCGAGATAATGGTAAATTCCTGCTGCATTATCGGATGCACAAATAGAAGCACGGAAGAAGGAAAATGTCTTTTTCGTATTCTGAGTGAAAAGAACCGCTAACGGTGAATTAAACGACTTTCAAACATCCGCAGAGTAAACGTAGAAGATCCTAACAAACAGTGGACTCCAACAAGTTCAACAACACATCGAGACTCTTGGAGGTTTTCATCTTTTCTGCTGTGAATGGCCCAGGAGTTTCCACCAAGTCATCGTGGATGTCGCCCAAGTGAATATTTGTCCAGGTAGTTGGTGATTCTGACCAGAAATTTGGTTTGGTCCACCTTTTGTCGGGGTTGAAAAGGGTGATTTGGCGTCTTTCGACGCTTATGACCAATTTCTGGTCAAATGGTCTTGGGTCCTCTGCCGTTAGAGTGGATAAATAACCGGGATTAATACCCTTTACGTGCTTTCTCGCTCCGTCCATCATGTTGAATTAGTGTTTCTTGCCGCCGACCAAAATAATTCCCAGCATGCAACGCGCGCTTTTGTCAACAATGAAACTTGCTTATAATGTCCCAGCCGTATTTACGCAGAGGAACCTAGTCCCCCCATTAAGAGTTTATCTCAAAACACTTAAAAAACAAACTGGTTAACTCAATGTCCACTACAGAGGACACAAATGAATGGGACGGGTCTCAGGAGGATATGTAGAATATTTGGAAATTTTGACTTTCAAATGAACTGTTGACTTCAATAAACATAGGAAACTTTTCTGGTGGAAGGTTTGTCAAATGTTTTTCTCCATGGAGATGTTATTGTTTTGTCTGGAATTCCACAGTATGGTATTAAGCCTTTCTATCTTCATGGAGATTAAGCCAGACCCAGTTACAAGTCAGATCTGTGGAGAGGCGACCCCGCTCACAGTCAGAATGTCTGATTTACTATATTTTTTTAGCTATAAAATCACCTGTAATGGAATAAATGTAAAGTAGAGCTGTTTAACATTTCAAGCAGAGCAAATGCACATACAGACGTGAGCAAAACCAAACCAAGACCCAGTTACAGGTCAGATCTGTGGAGAGGCGACCCTGCTCACAGTCAGAATATCAGTTTTTCTAGGTATTTTTGAAATATAAAACCAAATTTTAATTGAATAAATCTAAAGTAGAGCTTTTTAATGTCACACTGTGGAACATTCAAAGCCGAGCAATGACATCTCCATAGAAACAAGCAGGTGACAGACCCAACATCAGAAAAGTTACACAGTGATTTTGTTTACCTGCTTAAAGTGCATTTGACAGGTTCAACTACTCATTTGAAAAAACACACTAAAGATAATTATTCAAGATTTAGATAAAGAATTCCCCTTTTCCAGACATTTTTGCAAATTTAGCTTCCTGGTCAGAAATCATGGCATTATAGTTGGGTACTTCATAACTGTTACCTAGCAACCATTTAGTACACAGGTCAAAAACTCCTCTAATGTACACAGACATGATAAGAAAACACCTTTATTTTGTCAAAATCATGTTTAAAGTATCAGAAAAGTGTGCTTCTTGTGTATCAATTGTGCCTAAATTTTGGCAAGTGTGATGTCATCAGTTTGGGATTTTTCAACTTTTCTTCATAAACTGCGTCTTGATTGGTGTAAAACTATAAGCAAATTAAGTCCAAATTAAAGAATGTCATACACACTTAACTAACCCAACTGTTCATTTTATCACAGCATACATCCTGGTGTTTGGGTATAGAAGAAAAGAAACGTACCACAAAGTTGCTTACGAAAGTTTTTAATTTTTTTTCCTTGTTGGTCCATTTTCTCGACACATTTAAATAAAATCATGAACATGTGTGCAAATATCTGATCCTATGACTATGGCCTTGCACTTTTTGAACACTCGTAACCAGACCTCCTCCTCGTGTCCCTCTGACTCGTCCCTTACCTATAACACCTAAACCTGACCCGACACTGCCCCTCAGTGGACACACGTGGTATTGTTACATTAAAACCACTGCCTCTCCTGTGTACGCCCATCCACATACAGAACGTTTCTTATTATATATGACTATTTAAAGTGTTGTTTTTTATTTTTGTATGCCATTATCCTCCCGAGGGAATAAAGTTTAAACATATCTGTTGTGTCTCTTTGACTCTGACTGGTTTCTGTCAAATTAAATGATTTGTATGTTTTCAAAAAGGGATTACAACCACAAGTGAACCTGCAGAAAGAGGACACATACATGTTTGTCTCCTTCTCAGTTCATGGACAGGTCTCAAGCTCAGAACTGCCAGAATTCCCTCCCTGAGCTGCAGAAGCTGCACTAGCACTGACTCATGATGCTGCAGGTGCTGGAGTTTAGATAGAGATGTTTTAGGATTAAAACGACTGGATTTCAGCTTTGAAACTGGCAACCCAAATGAGACTCACTCATCACCATGGAGACAAGCAGATGGCAGACCTTCTCCAGAAAAGTTACATAGTGTACCTTTAACTAGCTCGAAACCAGAACTAAAATTACACTTCAAAAACACAAAATAATAAAAGAAAACCTCTAGTGTCTCAGTGGCCGAACATTTGTCCACAGACCTACAGGTTGATAGTCAGATTCCAGCTCTAGACAGTGCAAGACACTTCACTCTCCTGGGGTTGCGCGCGCGCGCGTGTGTGTGTGTGTGTGTGTGTGAGACAGTAGGGGCCTTTGGAGCAGGATGGTATTGACCCGTCAAATAGACTCAAGACTCTTTTGACACTTTTGATTATAAGTGCTGAAGTTCTCACTAAGCAGTGGTGCAAGAAGTATTCTGTTCTGAAACTGAATTAAAAGTACACAAGCAGGAGGTAAAAAAGACAATACGAATTTTTACTTATATATTTTTGTCTGTTCAAAGTCAGGATTTAAACAAAACCTTGAGTCAGAATTTTGCCATAAACTACTGAAAAATAATTGCCTGGAAATCCAGAAGGATATTTCTCTGTATGTGTTCTACAGCTCCATATCCGCTGGTACAGCGATGAGTCTGGATTCGTCCAGGCAAGAAAAATAAACCTGTCAGCCTTTTCAGCACGAGTCATCAGGTGTGTTCTATTCTTCAGTCATTTTCAAAAATGATGAAATAGAAAGTACAGACATTTAAAATAGAGTACAAGCAAACAGTGGAGGAAGGGCGCCTCCTGGTGGTGAAGAATGAACACAGGACAAGTGTCCATGGAAATACATATAATAATAATCTGGAAATACTATGACAGGTTTTTCAACCAGATGTAAATATTTCAAACATTTGCAACATAAAAAAAAGATACAAAACATATTTTTACACATTTTATTACAAAACTTGACAGTTACATGATGTTTGCTGACCTCATGGAGCAGCTGATATGTTCACTGGCTTTTACAATGGCACATTCACTTTGAAGAACTACGAGAATCACAATGATCCTGATTCTACATTCTGATTCATGCAACAGCATCAGGGACTGACAGTAGCAGCATATAAACACAAGAGCACGTCCTCACAGAATAATACAGTACCCATGGGGTACAGGGAAACATTTCTCAGTAGAAATGACTTACAGGTGCATTGCTCCCATCATGCATTTGGACAGCAGTGATCAGAGGGGCCGTCATGTGACCACCACATGAGAGGTACGCAACGTTTGTGCAAAACGACATTTGGTCTTAAACCTTTGACTTTGTTTGAGTCGCTCTCAGAGTCGCCACTTTCTCTTAAAGGCTCCTCACCAGAACAGAGCTCAGCCTCCGAGCTCCTGAAAGTGTTTGGAGTGTTCAAAGTGTTCAAAGTGTTCAAAGTGTTCAAAGTGTTCAAAGTGTTCAAAGTGTTCAAAGTGTTCAAAGTGTTCAAAGTGTTCAGAGTGTGAAAAGTGTTCAGAGTGTGAAAAGTGTGAAAAGTGTGAGTGCTGCAGATGTAAACAAGATAAACAACAAGACATGGACACAAAGTCACCTCCAAAGACACACGAGGAGGGGCTGGTTGTGTTGTGACATCACAGACACTTGAGGGAGGGGCTGGTTGTGTTGTGACATCACAGACACTTGAGGGAGGGGCTGGTTGTGTTGTGACATCACAGACACTTGAGGGAGGGGCTGGTTGTGTTGTGACATCACAGACACTTGAGGGAGGGGCTGGTTGTGTTGTGACATCACAGACACTTGAGGGAGGGGCTGGTTGTGTTGTGACATCACAGACACTTGAGGGAGGGGCTGGGGCTGGGGGAGCTAAAGGTACATGTGACCACGTCTCCTCCGATCACGCTGGTCACTAACAGAGGCGTCTGGCTGCAGCTCTTCTTCTGCTGCAGCTCGTCTTTAGGCCCCTCCCCCTCCTCGGGCCCTAGCCCCGCCCCTGGCACACTGAAGGGGTGGAAGTCCCAGGGCTGGCGGCCAGTCAGGTCACTGAAGGGATGCTGTCTGAAGCTGGTGGTGCGGATGGAGGCGTAGCTGGTGTCATTACTGTGGAGGGAGGGGGGGGAGTGCTGGCCCCCCTCCCAGCCCTGGTGCCCCCCCATCCCCCGCGCTTTGGCACTCAACAGCGCCCCCTTAAGGCGGGCACAGCCCTTCAGCAGCAGGTTCTTTCTGCACAGGATGTACACCCAGGGGTCCAGGATGGGGTTAAAGGAGGCAAAGCGGATGGCCGTCAGGTCTCCCCGTGGGGGAGGAGCTCCCTCAGACAGGTGGGCGGGGCCAGTCAGCTGGTTCACAAAGATACGCACCTGAGGAAAACAGCACAGGTGAGTGTAAATATTCAACACCAAACATTTAAAAATTTCACTCTAAATATGTCAGTATTTTTCCATCAAAAGTCTGCGCTCCAACACATGATTTTAGGAAATCTTGTTATGTTTTGTCTAAACTGCAGATTTGATTCTCATTATGCTCTGTGTGCTGTTCTAATTGTGACTAATGAACCATCTCATCTCCTCTCTCCTCCATCTCTCATTAGTGCCATTGATTTTCTTTAAAGATCACTTTCTATTCAGTGAGTGGTTTGTCTGCGCCACACTCACCTCACCGAGAAACCTCACTGTGAACACCTCAACGTGAACACCTCACTGAGAGCACCTCACTGTGAACACTAAACAGCTGAGGGACTTTCAAGTGCGTCTCAGAAAAAAAAAGAAAAAAAAAAGATAACTATGGTTGATATATTTCAGCATTTATGAAATACAAAAAGAGAGGTTTAGCTGTGCCTTTCATGTTCCTTCCAGCAGAACCATCCTCTCTGAGTTTGGGGAGCTGAGGGTGAGTGACAGCTCGGTGCTGCTGGAGCTGCCCTCAGGCTCTGCTCTTCAGACTTTAAACTCACTGATATTTCAGACTCAGCACAGCTAATGTCTAACCACTGAGGGCAGGACAGACGAGATCAGCAGATCTTTACCTCTGCTCCACAAACACGAGGCCCGCGCCACATGCAGGTACTGACAGTTAGTTCACTACAATATGCTGATGTGGCCACAAGGGGGCGCTTCAAACCCATCTACTATGTACAAAACTAATGTTCTGAAACTACTTTGATTACACTGGTAGAGTCAGTTGTGCTCATTTTCAACACCACAGAATGTAGTTTAAATAGTCTTTCTTACGATCCAGCTGCTCTTGGTAACCTGTGAACGCAACAGCAGTGACAGAATACTGAGAACATGTACTTAAATCAAAGTACAGTTACGTGGTTAAACTGTACTCCGTACAAGTGCTGCTGCCAAAACTGTCACTAGGTAAAGTGCAGGTAAAAACTATACAAGTTTATTTCTAACACGGTTTTAATATCATTTTAGAAAAGAATATAAAATGTTATTAATGCAATTTGAATAAGAATGAAGTGGTTTTAAAATGTAAATCTCTGGGCTCAGTAAGAGCTGCGCTTAAGTGTTTGAGAAAAGCACAAACAGCAGGAAAACACGAGGACACGATGGAGACGGTTTACACTGATGCATGACATGACATGATTATACTCAATAACAAAACCTAAGATTAAAAAAAAGTACACCTAGGCTCAAATAACACTCAATTAATTTGATCAATTACAGCAATTCCGTATTAATTAGGTCTAAACAGAGTGTGGTATAACGCGTCAGGACGTGTGGTCACAGGTACAGTGCGCGTCCATCAGAGCTGAAAAGTAGAGTTTAAAGTTTGTCTAAAGTGTGAGACTCACCACGAGCGGCACGGAGCACACCAGAAACACTGCGGTCATGAAGACGAGCAGCCACAGCATCTGCATCTCTGCGGCCGAGCTCACGGACTGAAGGCGCGGGAAGCGGCGCCGGCTGTTCTGCTCACACAGCTCCGCGCGCACTATGCTCGTCCTCTTGTTCATCCCCACGAGCGAGCGGCACACGGCCACGTTACACAGCACCGTGATGGTCACGAGCAGCAGCATCACGCTGCCGTACAGGAACGAGTAGCAAGCTCCCAGCGCGTCCGTTGCGCGCCAGTCCAAGAAGCACCAGGTGCCCGGGAAGTGGCGCACGTGGCGGCCGAAACCAAAGCTTGGCAGAACGCACAACGTGAGCGTGGCCAGGTATGTCACGAGGAGCACTGTGCGCGCCACTGAACGGTCCACGTGCTGGGAGTAGAAGTACGCGTGGTTTATAGCGAGGTAGCGCTCCACAGCCATGGCGCACAGGATGCACGTGCCAGCGCAGCCGAAGAACAACATGGAGAAGGAGAAGAAGTGGCACAGCGGCACTCCTCCGGGCCACCGGCCGCACGCGTACGTGGCGATCACCACCGGGCTCGTGAAGCACGTGCCCAGCAGGTCCGTGACCGCCATGCCGCACACGAGCGTGTAGAAGGTGCTCTCCTTCTGCTCGCGCTTGGACACGCACAGCACCACCACCGCAATCACGTTCCCCAGGACCCCCACTGCAAACATGGACGCGGAGATGACCAGAGAGCGCGCCTCCAGCCTCAGCGCGGGAAAAGTGCTGTTATTGTGGCTCAGAGTCAGCGCGCTCCCGTTCAAGTCCAGAGCTGTGCCGTTAATCATGTCCAAACAAAACGAGCCTCACGCAGCAGGTGTCCAACAGGTAAACAGGGAGTCTAAAGTCCAGAGCCGCGCTCAGGTCCTGTCAAACTTCTTCTTACATAGTACATTTCCCTTTGACTGTGCAGTGCATGGATCAGAACAGAACTGTCCTGTCTTCCTCCTCGCGCTCTGGTGAAGTGCCGCTTTTACGCGCGGCTTTATAGGCGCGTGTGAGGTCAGGTCTGTGACGACAGCACCGCGGGACACCCGCAGCTTTCGCGAGAGTCTCTCTATGCAGTCACACCTCTGTGAGTGAGAGCGCTCACCGCTGTGTTTAAACCCGCAGTAACGAGACTGGAGCGCACTGCGCACGCGCCACAAACAGGTTTGGAGCAGGTTTAAACCTGACCTTTTCCGGTCTTTTGTGCAGGTTTGTCAAACTCACGCATCGATAAAAGCATCAACCACAAGAGGCCGTGACCACAGAGCACAGAGCCGACAGACGAGCCCGTGCTCCTCTTCAGCACCACGGTCAGCTCCACCGCTCCAAACACACACACACACTCTCGCACACACCCCGACACACTCACACACTCACTCACACACACACTCAGACACACACACACACTGGGCCACTCGCTCTTTGCTCTGTGTAAAAGGTTTACAGTATCAGAAGCTCAGACATGTGTTTGTGTGTCTCTGTGAATCAAAAGATAAAACAGAAGCTCTGCTCCCACAGCACTGACTGTCACATGAACCTGACGTGCACTGATGTTTGTTCTGCTGTTCAGCCTGTACTGATTTTGTATTTGTATATGAAAGTGTAATTTTATTGCCTTACTTTAATGTCCTGATTTGTTATTCTATCATAAGATGAATTCTGATTATGAAACGGATGTGCCACTGTGCACCGCATCTGGAATCTGTTTTATAAATCTGTGATTCTCATAGAGTCAGAATGAGGCGTTTGTGGAAGCTCTTCACCTTCACTATCTCTTCACCATCTTCACATGCACACACACACCCACACACACACACACACACACACACACACACACACACACACACACACACACACACACAGACCAGTCACTCTGTCAGAGACCTCTGCAGCTCTCATTAACAGTTGTGTTAAGCACAAACCAGCTCAGACCGGATCACAGCACAACACAAGGTCTTCAGGGGACAATCCACGAGGACCTACACGTCAATAAATGTAAATCAAAGAGGTCACATGCAATTTTACAGACAAATATCTTGTTAGAGGCATTCTGTGAGCCTATGGAACAGTCAAATTCAAAATATCAAAACTTGAAAATCAATTTAAACACTTATGACCTCATCACGGTGAATAATTAGGATGTTGAGAAAGCATAAGTGGGAAGAACTGGACCACTGCAAACTGTGTCTAATCCTGTATTAAATGTGTTTCTCATGTTTTTAAGACCGTAAAAATCAAGTACAGCACCTTTCAGATTATAACTCTTATAATTACTTTTTATTTTTTGTGAATATTTTGTTGATTTCGTTCATTCTTGCGCCCTCTGCTGGTATTCATGATTTCTGAATAATAGAAAACACTGAAATAAAAACTGCAACATTTAAAGAAATGGTATTGTGCAAAGTCAACTTTTTGGCCTTTTCTAGTGTGTTCTAACATTGTTCCTTCATCCACAACGTGCTCAGAGAGGTTTCAGATGTCACCCATGCTTGAGTAATTTAGTGATCTATGTTATGTTTTTAGCTTCTCAAAAAGAGACCTGGAATTGTGTTTTGTTTCATTCACACACGTTTAACGCACAAACTCTGCAGATTTACGCTGAGTTCTTCTTCTCATACAGGTTAATAATATAATGCAGGAAGTGCTCCACTGTGTTTTTAAACTCCATACACTTTTACTAGAATCATTTGGATGATATTAGCCCTGGAATTGCTGATCTCGACAAAAATAAAGGCAAAAAGGAGCTGTTCACTTGAAAATGAGAATGAAACAAAACACAACTCCGGGTTTGTTTTGGAGGAAGTGACATTAAAACCGTAAATTTTGTGTAATAGTCAGTGTTGGGAAGGTGACTTTTAAAATGTATTCCCCTACAGATTACAGATTACATACCCCAAAATGTAGTTTGTAACAGAATCCATTTAGATACTTAAAGTGAGTAACGTAATCTGAATACTTTGGATTACTTGATTTGCTGTAGAGAAGCAAAGAAAAGGATATTTTCACAAAAGAAGTTTTGTCTGATAAAAGAAAATAAAAAGCCCAGACTTTACTGAACCAAATTAAAAATATTATTGATAGAAGACGAGGAGACACTGTCCTCATGGTTTAGTCCAGTTAAATCCTAAATCCTGCTTTAGTCCTGGTTTAAACCTGGTTTAGACCTGGTTTAGTCTCGCTTTAGTGGTTTAGACCTAGTTTAGACCTTTTTTAGTTCCGGTTTAGTCCTGGTTTAGACCTGGTTCAGTCCTGGTTTAGTTATGGTTTAGACTTGGTTTAGTCCTGGTTTAGACCTGGTTTAGACCTGGTTTAGTCCTGGTTTAGTCCTGGTTTAGTCCCGGTTTAGTGGTTTAGACCTGGTTTAGGCCTGGTTTAGTCCTGGTTTAGTCCCGGTTTAGTGGTTTAGGCCTGGTTTAGTCCCAGTTTAGTGGTTTAGACCTGGTTTTAGTCCTGGTTTAGTCCTGGTTTAGACCTGGATTCGTCCGGTTTAGTCCTGGTTTTAGTCCTGGTTTTACACTTGGTTTAGTCCTGGTTTAGTCCTGGTTTTACACTTGGTTTAGTCCTGGTTTAGTCCTGGTTTTACACTTGGTTTAGTCCTGGTTTTAGTCCTCGTTTTACACTTGGTTTAGTCCTAGTTTAGTCCTGGTTTAGTCCTGTTTTTAGTCCTGGTTTAGTCCTGGTTTAGTCCTGGTTTAGTCCTGTTTTTAGTCCTGGTTTAGTCCTGTCTTAGACCTGGTTTAGTCCTGGTTTAGTCCTTGTTTTACACTTGGTTTAGTCCTGGTTTAGTTCTGGTTTTAGACCTAGTTTAGTCCTGTCTTAGACCTGGTTTAGTCCTGGTTTTACACTTGGTTTAGTCCTGGTTTAGCCCAAAATGTGAAAACAGGAACATACCGCTGTGTAATCCATTTATTTCAATAAAGTAACTGTAATCCAATTGCCGCTCATTGAAACAGTAACTGTAACTGAATACAGTTACTCATAATTTGTACTCTGATTACGTAACTCCAGTACATGTAATCTGTTACTCCCCAACACTGGTGATATAGAACTCTTATCTGATACTGTTGTTTCTGGTGCAGTTTTAATATTGTTACACCAAAGAACAAAATCTGAAAATCTCAAAGTGATGAAATGATAAATAAACAAAGGAGTAGCTCCAAATTGAGAGAAGGTGTAGAGGTAAAGAGATGATATTGTAAAGAAAAAATCATGATTTGCCAGAGGACAGAACACTGCAGCACTGATTTCCCCACACTACTACGGCAGCCCTAAAGCCACATCTTTATTGTGGACAAACTCGGGGATGTACGTCAGATAATGAGTCACATAATATTGTTTAAAAGCAAAGTCCATTTATTTTGTAGTGTCCAAGGACTTTGCGTGCAGAGCGTTTACCATTTCAATTGTTTCTCTTCTAAAAATGGACGCTTCAATTTAGGCGATGTTTTTAAAGTAAATGAAAGTGTCAGTGTTGCGGGGCATGTTTTGCGCAAATTGTTTTCAACCTAAAAATAAATCAAAAAGAAAAAAAGAAAAAGAAACATCAGATCACAGAAGCCAGACGGATACACCAGCAGTCAAAAACCTTTATACGCTTTCATTTATTTCTCTTTATTTCTATGATTGTTTGTATTGAAGGCGTCAAAACTATGAAGGAACACAAATGGAATGTCAAAAAAACTAAAATAAAAAAGCAAACAAACTCATCATTTTCAGTCCAGAGACATAGTCTCTCCAGCGTGTCCTGGTCGTCTCCGGGGCCTCCTCCTAGTGGGACATGGCGATGCGGTGGCTGAGTGGCTAGCACTCATGCCTCACAGAAAGAAGGTTCTGGGTTCGATCACCGGGCCCACGGGCCTTTCTCCATCAACCCAAAACATGCTACAGGTCTCCAAGAACTGTTTATAGTCAAGGTCATTTAAATACAATCAATTCAATCATTGTGTGTCCTCAGGCACTTCACCCACATTGCCTGGTGTGAAGGTGGTGTGTGTGTGTGTGTGTGAGTGAAGGTGGTGGCTTCTGTCAGTCTGCCCCCAGTTTACCATCACCAGGTATAGAGTGAAAGAATAATGCTGTCGTTTTCACACCGCTAGTTCGATTATTTGGTCCGCACCAGGCAATAAAATTGTTATTATGTAGCAGATACACTCCAGTGTGTCCGCGTTCACACCGGCAAACGAACCAAAACTGGTTCGATTGACGTGTCTCTGTTTCCCCGGTAAAACAGCGATACTCCAGTTATCAACACCGATGTTCCTGTTAAAACCACGGGCCGTCCTCATCTCAAATTATCACCATGAACTCATAAAACAGCAACATGTAGAACTTTGTACAAACTCACCGCACATCAGTCCTGAGTTCGGGTAACAGCAACAGTAGCGCGCAGCTCCTCAGGACGGGGCTGGGGTTTGGTCCTTGGTCTCCTGCGCGTTGGTCAGATGGTCCGGAGGCTCTGTTCTTCATGTGCTGGTTCCAAACGGTGGCGAGCAAGACCAGTGCGCAGTGGACTGGGTCTAAGCGGGAACGTTCCGTCGTCTGCGCGCTGGTTCCGTGTGGGGAAAGCAAGAATGCGCTGTGGACTACCTACAGGTCTGTGCGCGCTGCTCCTGTCCTCCGCGCTCAAGAATCGCGGCTGGTTCCGAGGTAATGCAGCATCCGGACAGAAGCATGAGTCCAAGCGTCCGTCCTTGGCGCATTTGGTTCTTCCCGGGGAAAGCGCTTCCTCAGGTCGAGGCTCCCCGCTCCAGCTCCTCTGAGCCCGGCCTGAACAGGAGCTGCCCCCGCTGGTTCAGGACTCTGGTTTGGATCTAGTCCGACTGTATTTCTCACACTAGGCTAAAAACAGGGACTTTTTTAAGTTATATCAATTAAATAGGCTATTGCCTATTGCCATGAGATTATTTGGTTAATTAAAGCCTAAAATAACAAATGTTGGTTGCTACGTGAACACGGGGA